GATGGATTGAGCGCCCCTCTACACCAAGCACAGCGCCAAACACTGCCGCGCAGAGCGGGGGCGGCGCTGCCACCGCGAGTAGAAGCGGCTCGGCGCCAGCAGGCGGGAGCAGAGGCGAGCGCCGCCCCATTGCCGATCGGGGCGGCGGAGAGGGCCCGCATCGGACGCCCCCGACAGAGCCAGCCCGCGCGATGATCGGAATTCAAATGGACCGGCTGCCACCGATCAACCCACTGCACGCCCCCTAAGAGGCACAGCCCACGGGTCCTAAACGCGGACACTGGGCAGCCCAGGTCACTGCCGAACTGCTCAATCTCATCAACGACAGAGGGAACGCAAAAAATTCCGAAGTGTGGACACTAGCAGGAATGAAAACAACCCTCTGGGAAGGCCCCTCCAGCGACCTCCTCGCGCCCGACCCCGCGACGCACATCAACGACCTGATCGAAAACCTGGTTCAACAAGAGAACAGCGACGTCGCGTGGACTAGGGGCGATGCTGACAACCCGGCGCCCACTATATTCCCGCGGCTCACTTGGGATCTCTCTGAACCGACGGAACACGCGCACTTTCACTGGGATTTCTCCCCCTCGACCAGGATTGAGAAGACTGAGCTTCGCGAGCACTACGGAGCCACCACCGCAAGGCCCTCCAGGAGACCCAGCACCCCGCCGACCGCACGCGCAACTTCGACAAGCGCATAGGAGCACCAGAAAACCAAGCCCAGCGACCTGTCTGGAAAAATAGCCCCGCGGACGGAGATGCCAGACGGAAATGCCACGGAGGCCGAACTGACCGCAGGGCCCGATCCACGGCGGCCAAGCATGGCATCAAGTCGGGCCTGTCCCCCTACAGGGGGGTATTCGATGAAAAATAAAAAGTACCCCAAAAATACCCCCAAAATAGACCAAACATAGTCTGGGGACTATTTTTGTTTGTATTTGTTGTACCTTTTGGGGGTGTTGTTAGGTTTTCTTTTCTATTTTTCGTCGAAAATCCCCCTGTAGGGAGACACGCCCGACATGAGCATGGCAGGGCATGCATCAGCGAGCTGGGCACCCTCGTCCACGCCGCCGAGGACGATACGAGGCCGATGTGGCATCACAGCAGCAGTTCGGCCCCTGCCTTTCGTCCTGGGCTCGGTTTAGTGAAGTGATGAAGTTCGGGGCCCTTACGTGGGGAAAAACATCACTTCACTAATCTGGGGCCCCTGGGGCCTCAGTGGGCCCTGGGGCCCAAAATTAGTGAAGTGATGGTTTTCGGGCCTCGGAGACGACCCCGCCGGGGCGGCTCTCCTCGCCACCGCACGGCGGGCGGACGCCTGCTGCCACACACCCACCCCGAGCGCCAGCGGGCGTCGGAGGAGGGGCCGACGTTCGTAAAAAAAACCTTCGACGAAGGCATCCACGCGGCCTCTGTCCGCACCACATCAGGGGCGGACGGCGCGGAGCTGTTTCACCAGGTGCGCGGAGCTGCAGATAGGGTGGGACACGTGCCCAAATTCATCTGCGTGGACGCTCGAGGTGGCCCTCGCACGAGTCGTCGAGCTGGGGCGGTCGAGCGCTGCTGCGCAGTATCTCCTGGCAAAGAGTCCGCCAACCACGGGCATGACCTGGAATGGGGCCGTAGAACACGAGGGACAAGGAGGACCCGCGTCGACGACGCGCTCGCTAACGTCGAAGGCAGACAGCTGATTTCCAACTCCGTCCTACTCCGCGATATCCCCACTAAGCAGAAACACGGTGTTGTAGCCCCCCTAAATCTGAAAATCACCAGCAGTCATGGCGCACCCACTTACTTCCCCTTCGACCGACAGCGAGAAACAACGCGCCCTCGGGGACAACGTCAGCCAAGCGCGTCGCGAAAGACTGGACGGGCTTGGCGCGGCCGACGACGTCGACAAAATGCTCGGCCATGCGAATCAGGCTGGACACGACTATCACGATGAGCCCCGCACCAGAAGTGCACCAGAGGAGCAGAACAAGCCGGCCACCAGGCGCGGCAAGCCTCCAAACTTTCAACGCCGACACGCGGCCCCGCAAGTCGGCCGAGAGCACGGGGCCACCAGCCGCATGACGAACGACTTAGAAAACGCTCGCCAAGCAACTCACATCCATCGACAAGGGCCTGACTGCCCACCATCGGCTCGCGGGCCACCACGGCACCAATCGCCCTGGCCCTTGGGCACACGCTAAGCACACTTGGGCGGCAGCCAACACGGTCGCTGCTAGAACCCGACCCACCATTCTCATCAAGATTCCGCACGTCTGGGATGACGATGACATCTTGACCTGCAGCTCGACAACCTCACGGCCGCCGCTGCCGCCCAGCTGAGACGTCTCTCGCTGGCCACCAAAGCCCACTGCACGAAGGCCTGGAAAAGCCGCGCGCGAGTCAAGGACGGGTCAGAATGAAAACCCGATGGACCAAAGCGGCGAAAACCAAAACACCAGCGCCATCCACCGTCGCACCCCCCCATAAAAGCTCCCCACGCGCGCCGCGAGGCACAGGCGGGAGACAAGAGCGGGGAAAGATTCGTCGGGGCGCGGCACCGTCGCCACCACGGCGCCCAGCGATTCCGACGACGACAGTGATAATGGCTGGTGGATCCATGTGAGTCGCGCGCCCCAATCATCGCCCCGGCCCGAAACCCCCTGGCCGCCTCAGCATCATCACCATCATCATCATCATCATCATCATCATCATCATCATCATCATCATCATCATCATCATCATCATCATCATCATCATCAGCAGCAGCATCATCAGCATCATCATCAGCATCAGCATCATCATCATCATCATCATCATCATCATCATCATCATCATCATCATCATCATCATCAGCATCATCATCATCAGCATCAGCATCATCATCATCATCATCATCATCATCATCATCAGCATCATCATCATCATCGTCATCATCATCATCATCATCATCATCATCATCAGCATCAGCATCAGCATCAGCATCATCAGCACTATCATCATCAGCAGCATACTCAGCAGCATCAGCATCAGCATCAGCATCAGCATCAGCATCAGCATCAGCATCATCATCACCATCATCATCATCATCATCATCATCATCATCAGCATCAGCATCAGCATCAGCATCAGCATCACCATCAGCTCATCGTCCTCATTCTCGCCCTAATCCTCGTTCTCATCATCCTCATCCCTCCTCCCGCCTCATCCTGCTCTTCCTGCTGCTCCTCCGCATCCTCGCAGTCCTCCTTCTCCTCCTCCTTCTCCTATCCTCCCTCTTCCCTCCTCCCTCCTCCCTCCCCCTCCTCCCGCCTCCCGCCTCCCGTCTCCCGCCTCCCGCCTCGCGCCTCGCTCCTCCCGTCAGTCGTAAGCTGTCTGTTGTCGGCGTCGAGGTCGTCATTGTCGTCGTCGCCGTCGTCGTCGCCGTCGTCGTCGCATCAACCACCAGCACATGGAGCGCCTCGGATCGGCGGCACTGGCCGGAGGCCATTCAATATCGACGACCCCCCCACCCACGTAAACCCCCTGACCAAAACAACACTGCTTTGGACCACCACCCTGTCGCACCAGCTAGCGCCCAGCCCGCCAACGACCAGGCGAGTCAGATCGCGGTGGCCGCCCATCACGCCCAAAACAGCCAGCCCTCCCATTCGGCCTACCATGGTTCCGACAAGGGCGGCTGCCAGCAGCGGAACGACGACCACCAGGCAAGCGGGACCGCCCAACGCACGGACCGCAGGCAAGCCCTCATGCAACACTTCACGGCGGCGAACAGCCAGCAACAAAGGGACCGCGAGGACACACTCACACACAGTGCAAGCGCTCCAACACCGCGCCAGACCGTTTGCGCTTCCCCGTCAGCAGCTACACGGCGAACAATCGGCCCCGTTGGCCGACAGGCTCGTCCGAGCGCGAGGAGGCCTGGAACGGCCTGCAACAGGCCTTCCGGCCCGCTGCCGCTATGGGGGCATCCCTAGGGGGCCAAATGCGAACCCTACCCTTACCCCCCACGATTTCTGATGGGGAGGGTGGGGTTCACTTCGCTCGGGAGCTCCCGAACGAAATGAACCCCACCCTCCCCCTCAGAAATCGTGGGGGGTAGGGGTAGGGTTCGCATCTGGCTCCCTAATCCCTCCCTTGCAAACTCCAGGCTTTTGTCGACGGTCGAGGGGCGGCACACGAGTGCCAGCTCCAGCTCCTCTCCCACGGTCCACGGGCGTGCCGTCCTCCGCTCTTCTCGAGCCGCCCACGGGGGAAGGCCCCCCGGCGGCACCTTTCGCTGCGCACCGCGCGGGCCAAGAGCGCCAGGCAGAGGCAGCGCTTCTGCCGCGGAGGCGCAGACGGGCCCCGTGGCAGCCTCTTCTCACCGCCGACCGTTCCTTTTTTCCAGACGGGGTCCCCGGGACCGCGCCAGGGGGGAGGTCACCCCACTGCCCCTGCTACGCACACGCGGCACCTCCCGCCCTGAGAGGCTGGCCCGCGTGGCGCTCGTAGGCGCGGGGCCTGACGAAGTCTGGCTCGTTTAACCGTTGCGATCTCTCTCTCTCTCTCTCTCTCTATCGCTCCCTCTCTTCTCCTGTCCTCTCTTCGCAACGACCTCTCCTCGCATGTCCAAGCGTGGATAGAGTAAACTCCGCACTCGAGGAAAATGTGGGGTGTCATCCCTCTGCAGGCCATTACGAGACGAAATTGCCCACTGCAGGGCGGTTCGAAGCGTCGCGCGATCCTGTTCCGCCACGGGGTATCCGGACTCCAGCCGCCCCAAGACAAGCACCACACCGTGGCAGAAAACCGCATGCCGCTCTGTGCGACCCATGTCTGCGGATTCTCCCCCCTCCGCCACCGCCGCCGCCACCGTCGTCGTCGTCGAGTTCCCTGCTCCTGTTCCTCCCCCGCCCTCCTCCTACAGCCCCCCTCTCTGCCTCCCTCATCCCTCCTCTCCTCTCCCCATCTACTCGCCTCACCTTTGCAATCACAGAAATTGAATGTTTTCGACTATCGCGAGGGTCCTGCCACAGGTCGTTTACGTCATCCGACGTGCGCTTGACGTCCGGATTGTCCCCATGCAATTCGATGGCATCGCGAATGATCACCTTCCACCACAAGCATTTGCTTCCCACCACACCCGCGCAAAGAAAACAAGATGCGCAAAGGAAAGCATGTCACCAGAGACTCTCGGAGGTCAAAGGCAAGGAGGAAGGGAGGGGGAGGGGGAGTCAGAGGGGAGGGAGTGAGAAGGAGAGGAACGATGGTAAACCCCTTGCTCTCGCAAGCTTCCTCCTCTCCTGACTGCCCCGAGCAGTGGAGCACTGGAGCACTGGATCAGGCAATATGTATCGCCCGCCAAGGAGGCTACCAGTCCCCACCTGCCCAGACCGAGCCCCCGCTTTGAGACCTGAGATCGATGGTCCGAGAGGGGCATGCCTCGAATCCCTGCCTCTGGCGACACACATCGCCCGCCGGGTCCAGTTCCCACCTGCCCAGCCCGAGTCCCCTCTTTAAAATCAAAGGTTCAAATTCCCGCCGTGGAAGCCTGGCGCGTGCCCGAAGGCTCACTGGACATGTCCCCCGTGCGCCGCCGGCAGTCGTAGCTGATCGTGGTGGTGCCCGCGGAGCTCCGGTCGTAGGTACTCGGGCTCACGTCCCCAAAAATTGCGGCATCCAATTGGAGGTTGGCGTTGTTGACGCACTCGTGCCCTGGCAAGGAGCTCAAACTATTCCCCCAGCTGCCAGCTTGACGGTTGCAAACCTGTGCAAAACGGAGACGTTCGCCGAGACGAGGCGGCAGGGAGGCGAAGCTTGACTCTCTGGTGCGCCATCTCTCCTGCAGCCATGGGAGGAGGCGGACGAGGATGGCCTGGGGCCAAATGCCCAGAACATTTCCCATCGTCGGAAGGCGGCCCCGAGAGCGCCCCTCCTGGGTACGGCGGCGGGGTCGGCCGAAGGTCACGTGATACTTCAAGACTATCCAGACCTCCTCAAGGTATCCCGCCAGTCCCCTGGACGAGTTGGTCTAGCGATTTAGTTGATCCAACCTCCATCTCCTCCTGCGCAGCTTAACTCTTCCCCTACCCCCTCTCTGTGTCTCAACTCGACGGGGTGGGGGGGGCGGCGCGACGCGAGCGTCAAATATGTCTCCAAGGTGGCCCCAGAAAGTCTAAGACGACCTCCAAGATGGCTCAATATATCTGACGTTGGCCCCAGCTGATTTTATCACCATTTCTTCAAGAGGCCTCAAGAGCGCACCAACACTGCTCCGAGTGGCCTCCGAGCCTCACAAGGACGCCCCCGACAATCCAACACACACACCACCAAAACAATGATGTGTGCCTGTTAGCCTCTTCGATTCCGACCAGCTCTGGAGCCTCAACATGGCTCCAAGATCGCCCAACAGCGCCCCAAGAGATGTCCAATAGCGCCCTCAGCGGGAAGGAACAACGGTATACGCTGGAGGGCTGTGGAACATCAAGATGATCCATGGGACGCCCTGGGGCCGCGGGATCATGGGGACGCCCTGTTATCTTGACACGGCGTTTCATACTCCCCCTCTCCTCCCTCTCCCTCCTCCTCCCTCCCCCCCTGTCTTCACGTAATTTTCAGATTTAGTTAATTCATCCTGATTTTCTTCCCCCCCGCACGACCCTCTTCCCTCTGTGCTCCCCCCCTCCCCTTGCGCGTGTTCGCTCCGGTGCCCCCTCTCCTTCCTGCGCGGTCCCCCCTCTCCTCCTCCTGATCATGATCAGGGTGATTGCCATCCTTCCTGCCTGCATCGCCCCCCACCCCCACCCGCCACTCTCATCAGCCTCCCGCTCTGCTTCTCTGGAGGCCGACGGAGGCCTCATGAGGCATCCCGTCCGTAGATCTCCCACTGGGATGCCACATGCGAACCCTACCCCTACCCCCCACGATTTCTCAGAAGGAGGGTGGGGTTCACTTCGTTCGGGAGCTCCGAAGCGAAGTGAACCCCACCCTCCCCCTGAGCAATTGTGGGGGGCAAGGGGTAGGGCTCGCATGTGGCCCCCCACCCACAGCCCACTGGTCGCATGACGCGGAAGTGGCTGTCCAATTTCTTGGGCGCCTGCCCGGCAGACGCTTTGGCCGCCAGAGAGGCGACTCGAGTAGAGGTGACCTTCAGGCTCGGCCGCGGGAGTTTCTGGTTCCAGCCAGTCTTGTGGAAGCTGCGAGTCCGCGCACGGCCTTGCAAAAAAGCCTTCCTCGTGGGGGCACCCCGGCAACCGTCGCGCCGACGGCTCGAGCGGTCGACCTGGAGCTCCTGCTGGAAGGCCGTCCGAGGCAGCCACGGAGCTGCGCGAGCACGCCATCGCACAGCGGGACGCGCGTCGCGGCGTGATGAGTTTGGGGGCGGCCACGGCGGACAGGGGTCACTTCGGCGCTCTAGCCCTTGTTGAGCAGGGACCGACCGTCCCGGCATTTCTGTAGTCCTACCACGACATGTTCTTAGAATCCAAAAATGTTCTCCGAACAAAAACCATGTTCTTAGAACATAAACCCGATGTGATAACACAAGACAGACTCCGCCAGAAATGTTCTAAGAACATTTCGTGGAAACCACAGAAGGTTCTTAGAACATTGTTTGGTAGGGATATAGGCGAGCCAGGACGCTTCGCCACTGCTTGACCTTGGTTGTGGCCCCCGTCCTCTCTTGACGGTCATGCGGGGGGGAAAACTGGGGGCGCCGGGCGCCCTTTTCCCCGGCCGCGCCGCGCTTTCACTTCCGCCATGCGTTGTTGCAATCGTTCCGCTCGCGGGCCACGACTTCCGCGTTGCCGCCCCATTCACGCTCGCAGCGCAGATCCGGCGCTACCCGCGCGGGACAATGCGGCACCGATCCCAAGATCAGAGTGCCGAAATGGCCCTCATCCGTGGCCACACCAAATCTGATCACGCTGCGACACGCGCCCCGCTGTGCGACGGTGTGCTTGCGCAGCTCCCTGGCCAATTTGCGCGGCTTTCCAGCAGGAATTCCGAATCGACCGCGCGAACCTGCAGCGTAGCGCTCTTCCCAAAACTAGAACAAGTATGTGAAGACGCTAGTTTTCTTGAATGCGGTGCGACGGACGCGGGCACCTGCTTCACGTGGGGGTGCTTGCAGAGACCCGAACTCAACGCACGGCAAACATATCGACTGTCAGCGAAGCGAAAGTGAAACTGGACCTCGCCACAACGGATCAAGCAACCAAGCTCATATCGCTGGCATACGGGAAACCGGTTTCAGTATGAGTCGACAGTTGCGTTCTCCCAATCAAGACAGCCCCAAGAACGCCCAAGATTCTGTTGCTCCCACATCCCAGGAATGATTTCAAGCACCAGGAAAAGTGTCGAAAGAGGGTCGAAACAGTGTCTAAACAGTGTCGGGCGAGTGCCTCCCAGGGCCCCAACACGTGAAAACCTAAGAGTTTGGACCCCCCTTCTCTGGTCGATGGCCTCGAAGATGGCGCCACGAGTTGGAGGCTTGGACATTGACACCAACACCAACAGAGGGGGTTGCCTCCATAGGGGAAGATGATCCTAGATTTCGGTGTTGGTGGTAATATTTCGGTCGCCTTGGAAGCCAGAATATGACCAACATCACCGAGATCGGGATCGTCTTCCCTCGGTGGAGGCACACCGCCGATCTTGGTGTTGGTGGCAACCTCTAGGCCTGCGAACGAGAGCCCCAGAGGCATCAGAACTGACCCCAGGAGGGCCTCAGGAGGACCCCGTGGAGCTGCCAAAAGAGGCTCCCACCTCGCAGGATCCGCGAGGGCCTGCTGCGGTTGCCTGCCGGGTCTGCTCAGGCTAACCCCGATCTTCGGTGCCACGGCTGCCTCCCCCAGGAGGAGGAGAAGCAGGAGGAGGAGGAGGAGGAGGAGGAGGATGTTCCACTGCGTGCCCCCACACTCTCCTGGTCAGTGCAGCTCGACTAGGCATCGCTGCTGGATTGGCAGGTGGGGGTCGACGAGGCGTCAAGAATTGCTACACGTCCGAGCCAGCGCCTCCGTCCAGCGCTTGGAATGATGATACCACACACAAAGTTAGACGAGCGCGTTCCACTGCTCGCAAAGCAACTACTCGCAAATGGCCTGGATCCCCCGCGGGGGATCTACGAGAAATTATTACGAAGCAGACGCGTGTGCTTTCGGACATTTGCGAGTAGGCTCTTTGCGAGTAGTGGAACGCGCTCGGTGAGAAGTGCTAGCCCCTGCATCCGTTGCTCGCCCCCAGGAGGGACGCATCTTCCCAGGCGATCAACGTACTCAAGCGGTTCACCGATTCGAGAGCTTGCCAGGGAGTCCCCGCTCAAGGGCTCAACCATCACCTTCGATGCCACCGTTGAAAACATGATGGACTCCATCCCCAGGCTCACCATCCGATTTACCCCGCGCCCGTGGTTCACCCCTCGCGGGCCACCCAACACAATGCCGCTAAGGGGTCCCATCAACCCCGGGAAGGATCGTCAGCCCTCCAGAAAGCCCAGACGCCCGGCAGCGAATTTTCCCGAAAGGGGTCTCATCAAAAAAAAGGGGACCCCTGAAAGAGTAACAAAGTTTGGCGACACCCGCAAGCGTAGGCGGCCTTCCTGCACAAATGTAACGACGTGCTGAGTAGATGGAGGACCGTCCCTGACCCCCATGCCAGCAACCCACGCCATATACAAGGTTACCCGAGGACACTCCATGGCCACCCAAGGATATCAGAGGCCATTCTGGGGCAACCTGGGGCCACTCTGGGGCTTTAGGAACAGTCCTGAGGCTATCCCGAGTCCACCTGGAAGTCGAAGACTGGAGCAGGAGTCGGAACAGAAGAGCAACCCAACACGTTACTCGTAAATGACACTGCGACGCGAACTCTGGGAGACAAAGAAAACTAGATGCATATACGCCGGTCCTGGCCAGGCCCCTCCTGCGCCCGGCATTGATGCGCAAGCCTTCCTGGCTTGGTCAGGGAAGCATGTGCACCGATCCTGGGCCCAGGATGAGCCTGGGCATGATAAGTGCATGTGCACGGTTCTGTGAACATGAAACTATTCCTCGCCTGACGGGGACATGCCGGGTTTCCAGCACGCCGCCTGGGTCTGACCAGCTGACGCTGCTGTCTGTCCGGACGACCTGAGGGGACGCGGCCGGCCCGACCTGGGTCAGCCTCAGCTGCTCCATGACGACGACCTATCATAAGAAGGCTGCGATTAATCAATGGGACAGCATGGTTGGACAATATACTTTACAATGCATAACTAATACAAACCAACTGATAGAAAAAAATCGCAGACCCAACACATCAAAACCATGCAAAACATGGTCCCGCACGGAAGCGGAAAGAGCGACGCAGAAATCTGCACGAAAGGGCTCATAGACCCGTCCGCTCTTCCGAGTACTGGAATGAAGAGTCACTTAGGCCATCGATCGTACTGGGAGCCTCAGCGATCAAAGCGTTTGAGGCCACAGGTTGCTCCTGGGAGCCTTGGCGTTTCATACTCGTTACGTCGCTGTTTGTTTGCCCTTAGGACCCCTGGCGTCACGTGCGTTGGAGGTCACTGGGAGCTCTTCTGAGGCTTGGCGTTCAATACTGTTGCATAACCAGCTCGCCCAACCACTGTTTCGTCCGCTGGACCTCTTGGGAACCTTGACGTCCAAAATGTGTCCGTCACTGGACCATATGGTGCCGGGAGCCTTGGTGTCAAAGCTGTGTCCGTCGCTGGGCCGTCTTTGTTTGGGCCCTCCTGGGAGCTCTCGAGCAGCTCTTGGACAACAGCTTCGGGGCCCATTGGGGGTGTTCGGGGGCGTCTTGGGGACCTCGCCGGAGCACCCTAGGGAGCCTCTGGGACCGTCTCGAGGCCATCGTAAGCCACCTTGGGGGCTCTCCAGCCGCCTCGGGCATTCCCTGGGCCGTCTTGGGGCCCTGTAGGGGCCGTAGTGACCGCTTCGTGGGCTGGTTTGGGGGCCCCTCCTGGACGCCCTGGTGGGGCCCCTTTGGACCGTGTTGGGCCGTTGTGCGGCCCCGTGGGCCCCTTTTGAAGACCTCTCGAGCCGCCATCAGAAAAAGCGAGATTGTCGAGAGAAAAATTATACATCTACGAACTACTCAACACCTAAAGAAGAGCAGTGACTGTTGTTTCCTGAAGCCCTCTTGGCGGACCTATTGAAGCCGTTTGGGGGGCCTCTTGGGCTGTCTTGAAGCCATCTTGGGCGGTGTTCGAGCGCTCCGGGGCGGACCGTCTGAAGGGTCGCCTGGGTCTTGGGGGGCTGCTGGACGCCCTCCGGGAACAGGGCAACCTCGCTTCCGTGGGCGATCTGCTGGGGCACGCGGCAAGTGCGGGGGAGATCCCGCGGAATGCCACTGTCAAGGCAGAACAAGCGGAGAGCGCCCTCGGCAGAACGCTGGCGACGGAGATCGACATCGATTACACTGACGCCGCGGACGCAGACACAAAGGAGGAAGAAGAGGCACTGCCGGGCCACCAGGTCAACCCGAGCGGAGTGTATTACACGCGCATCGCCTGGCAGCCAACGGCGCCAGACGTTGTCAGCGCCGCCGCAGTTGGCTGGCCAGCCACTCCACCTGCTCGCCCCTTGGAACACTCTGACTTCACGTGCTCTAAATCGGGTGTCGTTGCGAAGTTGCGGGGTGGTCTGGCGGAGCTCGGAAAGGCATTCCACTCCGAGATGGTGGCTGCTGGTCCATCGGATTTCGACGCGGCCACGCAGACACTGGACCCGACGCAAAAACTCTTCGCGCAGATGCTGGCAGAATGGGCAGACAAGCGGGCGGCGTGGCGCCGGGCTCTCCCAACGACGAGCGAGGCCCCAAAAATCGAGCCGGCGCTCAGCCATACCGTTCTCTGGGCACGGCCGGCACGGGGAAGACGGGCACTGCCCAGATCGCCACCAACGAGGTCCGCAAGCAAATCGGGTCGTGCGACAGCGCCCTCACAACGGCCTTTTCCGGCATGGCAGCGGCGAACCTCGGGGGCGGAACGACAGCGATCGACAGCATCCTCCACGCGAACCGCGATTCCGCGAGTGACGACTTGGCTGGAGACCAATTGGGTAATCTCGTCGACCTGCCCGAGCACGTGGAACTGTTGGTCGTGGGCGAGGTGTCCACGTGCGGGGCCGCCACTTTCGAGATCGTCAGCAGGCGCGTGCAGCAGGTGGCGCGCGCGCTGTGGCGCAGACGGTTGCGCTGCCCACCTCCGGAAGACACGGGCCCGTTCAGCAGCATCGGCGTCGTCCTCATGCGTGACTTCGCACAGCTGCCGCCCGTGCTGGCCACTAGCTTGCTTCCGGGCATGCCTCGCGCTGGCGCAGGCGGCCCGACTGCTCGAGCCATGGCGCTGGCCAGCCAGAAGACCTTCACCGAATTCGGGGACGCCCCACATTTGCGTCGCATTCACCGCCAGAAAGGGGTCGATGCATTCGAAGAGTCGACTATGAGACACAGAGATGCGGCGATCACAACGGAGGACTAGGCCCCGTGGAAGAACCACGAGTTGGACACGATGAATAGCTCGACGCTTCAGTCTGCCAGCCCGCGCGCGCGGCAGGGCGGTGAGTCTCTCGTCCGCAAGGGGTCGGTTCGCGCCGGAGAAACTGGCTGTCGGGAAGATCAACGGCGCGCAGTTGGCAGCCAGGGCACCCCTTCACGGCGCGCCAGGCTTTGCATGCGCGGGGGGCGTCGTCGCGAGGACGGAGGCACGACCCATAGACCCGCGCGGATTACACAGGAGCGCCGTTGACTTCCGACAACTCCGCAGGGCAGCCCACCTGCGCGCGGGGGCGCGAGTGATGTTAACGCAGAATTCTTTATGAGGCGCCCCCACTGCGCCCCTCGGGCCCATGAATGGGGCTCGGGCAGTGGTCGTCGCCATCGCGCGCGCCTCCCCAGGGGGCAGCGAACTGACCAGAGTGCCCGCGCAGGGGTCGGCCATCCCAGCTCCGCCCTCGGAGAGTTCCCCCGGGGGGGCCCGCTTACCCAGTTCCTGGCTTCGCGGTCGTGCATTTTCCCGCGTGCAAGGGCCCCGCTTGCCCCCGCAATCTCCCAGGGGCCCGGGCACCGGCCCCCTGCGCAGAGGTGCGGCACAAGACCTTGCAGTCGTTGACTCGCGCCGGCATGCCCTGGCGCCCGGCATGGGCACTCGCCAATGCACGAGTCGCATGGCATCACGGCGCACGAGGGCTGCATCGTGTCCTCTGCTGGATCTCGAGGACCCAACCCGGCGGGCCAGCTCGGGATGGCCTTCGCGGCATGGACGCGCGCCGCGAAGTGGGAGTCTATGGCCTTTCACAAGCCCCCACCCTCGACGGACTTTCTGCCCGCGCGCCTGACGAAGGACTTCGGACTTCTTCGCCGGCGCAGAGTTCGAGAGCAAGGCAGACGCCACGTTTGCCAGACTGCTCGAGCGGAGAAGCACATCTCTTGAAGCGCCGCTGGATGAGCACTAGCAACACTTGCGGACCACCAAGCTCGCAAAGGAAGGGCTCGAACCGAATGGCGCCAAGCTGGCAGATCTGCGGGCGGCGCTGCCCGCGGCGGGTGCGGCGCCTATCAGCGACAGCGCCCCCCTGGCACTGCGAGGGGCAATCGGGCCGCAAGGCCACCTGCCTGTGGAGCATCGCAGCCTCGTTCCGCGCACAGAAACCGAAGAAGAAGAACCCTGGCCAAGCTTTGCCAGCCCGCGGGGAGAGCGGCTCCGGCGGCAAGACCTCGTCGACATAGACGGGCACTCCGGGACCCCGGGCTTCGGAGGCGGAGGCCGCGGCTGAGGCCTCTGCGGCGGCGACCATGATCAACATGGGCTTCAACGAGGTTGACAGCACCCGTGCGTTGGAGCAGACGTCGTCCCAGTTCCGGCAAGCGTTGGCGTTCCTGCTCAATGGCCTGGGCGCGCAGCGCACAAAATACGACGCACTCAAACGGTTCCGCCGCCGTTGTGCCAAGACGGTCCGGACTCTGGACTGCGAAGTGTTGGGGAGTGGCGAAGTCCTGACGCGGTACTCGCAGCGCGCGCAATGAGTTGCATGTCGACGCGCAGGTGCAGTATGCGGGACGAACCACGGGTGCGTGCTTCAGGCTACGCCTCGCAGCAGGCCTGGCCGAACGCGGGCCGGACGTTTTGGCCCAGACCTTGCCAGGCAACACTCCAACCCATCAAGCGGCAGGCCAACTGACAGCACAGGGTGTGTAGCAGTGTGTCGACGCTGGCGTGCGTCAGTCGCCTTTGGGCGTGGTGGCGGAAGCTCTCCGGACCTGGTTCTGCGGCGGCGAAGCCGCCGTACTGCTCAGAGCCGACATGAAAACCATAATATACCCGGCCCTTTCTGGCCTGGATGCCCGGGGCCACGTGCGCACCGAGGCGCTGTACACGGAAGCTGGCAAGTACAGAGTACGCGGACCAGTTGGTCATGATGTCGGCCACCTTGGAGTTGGGCATCCGCATCACTGTCATCCCTTTCGCTCCACCGACGGCACTGGTGCAGTGGACGATCCCGTCTCATGGGCCAGAAAACGCCACCGTCGTTGTTCACATGGGCAACAATGATTTGCATTATGTTGACCTGTCGCGGCAATCGTGATGGCGCCGGACGCCCGCACCAGACTTTGCCGCCGGCCCGCTCCCGCCGCCTGTACGTTCGGATGCTCGACCGCGCGGGGCCGGAAAAGCAGCAAGCGTGCGCCATCCCCGAAAGGATCCCAAGAGGCACCCAAGAGGCCCCCAAGAGTCCCCCAAGAGGCCCCCAAGAGCCCTCCAAGAGGTCCAAAAGACGCGCCCAACCCCCCAAACCCTTGCAAAATGAACGAAATAATTATTTATTTCATTAGTTCCAGGGGGGGGGGGACTGGTACCAAGGCGCCTAAGGACGAAGGGTGACGTAAACAACTCGACACCAAGGCTCCCAAGAGCGAGCGGCGACGCAACAATCTCCACTGGTATCGTCAGAACAAAAAACACCACTGTTGCCCATTCCTGGCCACCTCCTCCCTCCCCAAACCTCCTTATCACCCGCGGGGTGGTCGTATTGGTATGTGTATGCATGTGTGTATGTATATGTATGTGTATATGTATATGTGTATGTGTATGCATGTGTGTATGTATGTCTGTAAGTATATGTATATGTATATGCCTATGGATGTGTAAATGTGCATGTATACGTATGTGTAGGTGAGT